CTGTCTAGGCCCCATCTTGTTATCTTATGATGAAACCCTACATCTAAATTTTAAAACCACTGGACAGACAAGACCAATGTATGGCATAGCAACCTATTCCAATTGCAAGTAGAATACTGGGAAGGAACTAACATCACCTCTAAAGTACTAGCTTTGCAGAATCGTACCTATAAAGTATACAAAACTCATAAACCGATTTCTCTAACTATCCTTTCCTCCAAGGGCTAATATACTTAAAGCACAGCCCCTCAAATGTCTGTCATTTTATAGCACTTTTTTTTTTAAGATTTTATTTATTTGTCAGAGAGAGAGAACAGGCTTCTTGCTGAGCAGGGAGCCCAATGTGGGGCTCAATCCCAGGACCCTGGGATCATGACCTGAGCTAAAGGCAGACACTTAACTGACTGAGCCCAAAAGCTCAACACAGTCATCATTTTTACCACCAAACTGGTTTCTCTCAAGTTCCCCATTTTCTTGCAGCTTTGGAATGAGTACTGACTTTCCCTTCTCCTTTTAAGCTCTAGTCACCAACTCTTAACTAATTCTTCCTTTCAGAGAAATGTAGATTCATTGTTTCCCTACTTACAGTGCCACTACTTTCATTTAAACCCTTATTACCTCAGGCCTGGATTGCTGCAAGAACCTCCCATTCTGTAGACTATTGCCAAGTTAATTTTTGTGCAATTTAAGATCAACTGGATCTGGTTAGCCTTCTGACCTGATTTCTGGGACTGTTCTCTGGCCCAGGCTTGTATCCTTCCTTCATAGTATAGGATGTTCCCACTTTCCAGTGTGTCTGCTATGTAAGAGTTAGAAAAGCTAGACATCACTCGTGGCTTTAGGAATTGTCTTGGTATGCTCTCAGCATTCTGAGCTCTTTGATTCCTGGATCTGACTGCTTTAGTTCTAATCTTATTTTGGTGCCTGGTCTGATGGCGAATTACATTTTCCTTTTGGTACTGAAGTATTATGTCATATTACTGCCTAGCAGTTTTGGTTGTTGTTTTTAATGTCTTGAGTTTAGCCACCTATTTGAAAGAGCCCAAGAGCTCTTCAACCTGGCATTCATGACTTCCCTTCAACTGGAACTTTTTTTTGTTAAGATTTTATTTATTTATTTGAGAGAGAGAGAGAGCGAGCACAAGTGGAGAGAAGGAGCAGAGGAAGAGGGACAAGCAGATTCCGCATTGAGCAGGGAGCCCAACATGGGGCTCAATCCTAGTACCCTGAGACCATGGCCTGGCTGAAGGCAGACACTTAACTGACTGAGCCACCCAGGTGCCTCTCCTTATATATCATTTAAATGCACCTTCCCAGCACCACCATGTTGCACAACTCTAAGCAGGATCATTCATGTTATGAATCATTCTATGTTAATGATTTCCCATACTACAACATCCTCTAGTTTCTTTCTTTCTTTCTTTCTTTTTTTTTTTTTAAAGATTTTATTTATTTATTTGACAGAGAGAGACACAGCGAGAGAGGGAACACAAGCAGGGGGAGTGGGAGAGGGAGAAGCAGGCTTCCCGCCGAGCAGGGAGCCCCATGCGGGGCTCGATTCCAGGACCTGGAATCATGACCTGAGCCAAAGGCAGATGCTTAACGACTGAGCCACCCAGGCGCCCCTATTTCTTTATTTTTAAGATTTTATTTATTTATTTATTAGAGAGCGAGTGAGAGAGAAACAGCATGAGAGGGGAGAGGGTCAGAGGGAGAAGCAGGCTCCCCGCTGAGCCGGGAGCCCGATGTGGGACTTGAGCCCAGGACTCTGGGATCATGCCCTGAGCCGAAGGCAGGCGCTTAACCATCTGAGCCACCCAGGCGCCCCCTACACTCTTTTCCCAACCCATTGTGGCCATTCTTTCTCCACAGTTGTGGCTCCTAGATGCCCACCTATTGTCAGGGCCCCACTCCCATTTCTAGAACCACTTCCGGCCAGAAACAAGAGGTTTAATAGTTCTAGGACTCAGTAGCATCTTACTCCTATAATTAGTCCAGTGTTATCACTCTGTTCTTCAGTTCTATTAAATGAGCTCCTTTCCAAGACCTGGGTCCTAGTTCTGGTACCTTGTGTTCTGTTTTGCCTTGGTAACACACCCAGGACTTTAGTCCTACAGGGAAGCTCTTACTTCATATTAAAAACTCCCTCATGTCAATTGCTTGCTAAAATGTCTGGCCAGCTGTTGCCTATTGCCATATACTTGGGCTACTGTTGGCATGCTGGACTAGACTTATAGCTGGGCCTGTCACGTTTACTGCCAGCCTCATCCCAGTAGAAGGGTCTAATCACATCTTGTGACCATTTCTCAACCTTTCCCACCATGCTGTTCACGATGCCCAGCAATAGCTATCTCAAAATGAAAGAGTATTTAAGCTCTTTTAAAATGTGTTGCTCCATTGGGTGCCTGGGTGCTCAGTTGGTTAAGTGTCTGCCTTCAGCTCAGGTCATGATCCCAGGGTCCTAGGATCGAACCTCACATCAGGCTCCGTGCTCAGCAGGGAGTCTGCTTTTCCCTCTCCCTGTGCCCCTCCCCCCGCCCCACTCCTGCCCACACATGCACTCTCTCTAATAAATAAAATCTTTTTTTTTCTTAAGGATTTTATTTATTTATTTGACAGAGAGAGACACAGCGAAAGAGGGAACACAAGCAGGGGGAATGGGAGAGGGAGAAGCAGGCTTCCCGCGGAGCAGGGAGCCCGATGTGGGGCTCGATCCCAGGACCCTGGGATCATGACCTGAGCCGAAGGCAGATGCTTAACCATCTGAGCCACCCAGGCGCCCCTCTAATAAATAAAATCTTAAAAAAAAAAAAGTGATGTTCCCGGGGATCCTGGCTGGCTCACTTGGTAGAATATGTGACTCTTGATCTTGGGATCTTGGAGTTTGAGTCTCACATTGGGCATAGAGATTACTTTAAATAAACAAATAGATAAAATGTGATGCTCCAATCAGAAAAGTAGTATTGAGATGTTATCTGATCATGAATATCAACTCTTTTGTTATAGATACTATATACTTATATTAAGTGAATTAAAGTCACCTTGACTGTAAGAGCAGCAAACTTTTTTTTTTTTTTAAGTGAACTACTCCCAACATGGGACTCAAATTCACAGCCCTGAGATCAAGAATTGTATGCTCTACCCAACTGACCCATCCAGGCATCCCAAAATGAGCAAACTTCTAAAATACGACTTTCTAAACATCTTTACCATATTGGGTACTTTATCTTCTACTGGTTGACATAAAATATATACTGGTATGAGTTCCTCTGAATCATAACAAAGCAAAATTCAAAAAGGAGTAACAAAAAGAAGAAATAACAAAAAGAATCATATCAAAGTGATCAAAATAATCCCTAGCAACTATAACCGTAAATTACAGTAAGTGAAAGTAAAAAGGACTGATTTGATGGATTACCTGCCCAAGTTATTTGTTCAAATGCCAAGAAGCAACTTCTGTACCATAAGAGTGTTTCCATATTTTCTTTTGCTTTCCTTACTCTAGAGAGAAATCTCAGGTGTGCTTACTCATATTATCAATTTATCACCTCATTAAATTCTGCCCCCCCCCCAGTCTATAAAGTATATTTGGAATTACAACTACAAAAAAGCAATAAAAAACCTTTATTTTGTTCTTGTAAAACTTTATTTCAGTTTAAACAAACAAACAAAAAAAGCAAATGTTATTTATGTCATAAAGGGATAGGTGGTGGGAGTATGATCATCCTTCATAGCTGCTAGCTGGCAAACTCCAAATGAGAGATGTAATCCAGGTAAAAGACCCTTATTATTCCAGAGTATATTTACCTCCCAAAGAGATAATGAAAATTAGTCAAAAAGATTAGAAAAATTTTACATGGAGTCATATCAGAAAAGCTGAGAAAGTGAAGCCTAATGCTTTGAGAAATTCTGCTTCCACTTAATTCAGAAGAATTAAACCTTAAAGGTCAAGAACAGGTGGTTTATACCATACGTATTAGAAACAATGACATGTACTTTTGTCAGTTTCATATGATTATTAGGATTCAAAACATTACTTAAAATCTAGATGTAGGCCCAAACAATTAGTCACTGCCAAAAAATGGAAAATTTTGTTTAGAAGAAACATAATGTTTAGAGGAAACACAAATATATGACTATTTGGGTCTTTTAAGTCCAATTTTAATGTGTACCAAAAAGAAAGGACATGGTAACACTATTACACCTAAAGATTCCAAACAGAATGTCCCCATTAACAACAGCAACCAAGAAATCTAATTGTCTACAGTTTTTATTTCTAATCAAGTATTAGTTTCAGTTCTTTTTTTTGAGCCTCCCTTCTGTTAATAATGTACAGCTTGTCAGATAACTATATCACTGATTTCTAAGCTCCCCTCCCACTGTATTTTCTTTCCTTTTAAACTAAGATGTACCTAGAAATAACGAGACAACTCAGCATAGCTGTAGTGGCCTTCAATAATTTTGGTTTACTAATTAGTTGATCTTATTCCAGTGAAGGCTAATATCAAATTTATCCAATAGTCTTTGATTTTACAATTACTTATAATAGAATACTGCATCATATACAGAACTCTTTTTTTTTTTTTTAAAGATTTATCTATTTATTTGAGAGAGCGAGAATGAGAGAGAGTACACGAGAGGGGGGAGGGTCAGAGGGAGAAGCAGGCTCCCCGCCGAGCAGGGAGCCCGATGCGGGACTCGATCCCGGGACTCCAGGATCATGACCTGAGCCGAAGGCAGTCGCTTTAACCAACTGAGCCACCCAGGCGCCCATATACAGAACTCCTGATCAATAATCTACTTACATCTCATAACCAGTTATCTTTCTAAACAATTTACAAATGTAAAATATGCAATGTTCTTTAAAATAAATATACAATATATAGTTTCTACATTCTCAGACAAGCTTAAAAATGAGGTAATAAAAACTTAAATGATTAAACCTTTACCATTCTGGAAATGGCTTAGGGAAATGATGGCAAACTTGTTTTGTTTTGTTTTTCTTTAGGTCTTTTCATCTTTGAGTGCTTCTGAGTACCTCCTTTTCTATGCTGAAAAATTATGTAAAAAATCCTTAAGCTTTGTTGGATAGTCTGTCATCACCCCAGTTGCTCCCAAATCAAAAGCTCGTTTGTATTCTTGTTCTTCATTCAATACCCAAATATAGACCTGAAAATTAGAAGCATGAGAAGTATGAGATGAAAGGTTAAAATTTTATAATAGCCTTTATACACTACAATCTCAGCATACTTAGAAACAACCTTTTAAACCTGTAATTTTAAGAAATCATTGAACCCTTTAAATTTTTTTTTACTTTACCCATGAAATTTTTTTACTTTACCCATTAAATATACACTGTCTGGCTTCAGCTACTGTCACCTATATATAAGTGGACTCCAGTTACTAAAATGCCAATGCTTTCTTGTTAAGTTTAAGGTCTTCATATGTGAACCAGTAAAGCAGCAGCATCAGAGTTGGAACCAAATTAAGTTCCTGCCCTTTACACTACTGTTAAACTGGTGAGCTATACTGTTTCCAAAATGCATCATTCCGGGCGCCTGGGTGGCTCAGTCGTTGGGCGTCTGCCTTCGGCTCGGGTCATGGTCCCAGGGTCCTGGGATGGAGCTCCACATCGGGCTCCCTGCTCTGCAGGAAGCCTGCTTCTCCCTCTCCCACTCCCCCTGCTTGTGTTCCCTCTCTCGCTGTCTCTTTCTGTCTTTCAAATAAATAAATAAAATCTTAAAAAAAAAAAAAAGGCATCATTGCAGAAACTTACCTGAATGCCTCTGGCAGTTAGGTGGTCAAACAAGGCTTTTCTCATTAGTAAGCTGGAAAATAAAAGAGGACAGATTTAGATCTTTCTTAACTCTAATGAAGGACTCTTAGTCCTTAGTCCTAATTTAGTCCATTTAGAGTTTGTAATTCCTAACTGAATTTAATCCCAATGCTGTAGCAACAATAAAGCAATGGCCTCAAGTAATAACTGTGGTGGATGCATTTATGTTCTAACCACTGGATCTCCTTTCACTGCTGGCTGGCCGCTTGCTGGTGGACCACCAGAACCTCCTATTTCTTCTGTAACTACATCCTCAAGGGACCCAATCTTATTTAAGCCACTCAGTAGACAAGAGGCCTCCTCGATTTCCCTGTCGACACCATAACAAGTGAGAAAGAACTGGGAAGTCTGACTAACATTCCAACTTAAAATAAGGCAGTGAACTTGGGCCAAGTTCTAGAATATCATAGTTCATTTACATAATGTATTAGCCTTTCATGTGCTATCTTAGAAACCTAATGTCCATTGATTACACTATAAATAGGAAAACTGCAGCTTTTTTTTAAGTGCTAAATAATTGACTTAAAAGTGAACTCTTAGAATATAAATCACTTGAGCATGATGGGAACAAACTATACTGGAAAGTTATACATATTATTTCTATTCTGTTTATGTCTATTAAAGTGATGAAATAAGAGAAACTAAAAATCATATGCATTTAACACCAATTAAAAATGCATCCTTGAAAACTAGAAATTAAATCAGGAATAGAGCAAAAAAGAATAAACCCTGTGGCACAGAGAAAAGATAAAACTAGTTTTCCAACTCTCTGAAAGAGGAGGTTAAGTAACTTAAAAGGTTGTGATTTGGGACTATTATTTAAGCATTCCGGGTTCCATTTTAAAGCAAAATATAGCACAGCAACATTGTGTTATTTACCTAAAATTAAACTCAACATGTCTGAGAAATGAAAGTTTTTTCTTTAAAGGAGATGCCCACCCTAAAGGTGGGGCTTCCTGTCTGCTATTAAGTCTTCGTGCAGATTTTTCAGAGAAATGTGCCACTAATCAATATACACTTTTACATATACTTGTATTGCTATACACACTTCTTTCTGCCATGTCTCTGACTGCGGTTAGTTGAAAACAGCAAACAGGTAGAAGGGAATGGTTATACATACCACCACCTCTTCTACTTAGCTAGATAACCCTAAGTTAATCATTTACCTTTGGTTAGGAGGGCACTCAGTTTTCTCCTGAAGCTGGATGAGATTATCTCTCAAGATTCCTCTTAAGGTTTTGTGACTAGTAATTAAAGTAGTTCTAAATGATTCATATACATCCACCCACAGAGTAGGTGCTTATCATCCTTGTTACAAATCACATATAGAAAGCTTGCTCTAAATTATAAACATAGTATTTAATAGATTCAGCTAAAACAATAACTCGTATATCAAGAAACTAAAATTCTTACATATCAGAAAGCCAGATGAGAAACTTTTGACTTCTGGACATAGTGTGTGGTTCTTTTAGCCTGAGGCAAAATAAAAATTTGAATCAGAAATTAGAAACACAAGAAGGTATATCATTGTGATAAAATGAGTCCAAAAACAAAGTTGCCTTGCACTTCGTATGTGCTCAAAAAATACTTGTAAAAAAACCCCAAAAGTAAAATAAAACCCATTTGGGTTCTCTGGTTTTTTGTTTTATTTTGGTTTGTTTTTTAAAGATTTTATTTATTTGTTTGACAGAGAGCGAGATAACGAGAGCAGGAACACAAACAGGGGGAGTGGGAGAGGGAGAAGCAGGCTTCCCGCTGAGCAGGGAGCCCGATGCGGGGCTCGATCCCAGGACCCTGGGATCGTGACCTGAACCGAAGGCAGACACTTAACGACTGAGCCACCCAGTGCCCGGGTTCTCTGTTTCTATTGATTTTGAGATGACTTTGCTACTACTACTAAAAGGTAAAAAAAATAATGAAAGTTATCTTTCTAGACCCTGGGTGCCTGGGGCTCATGTCTCTTCTCTTTTTTGGTGAAGCTTCTTTCTCTCACCTTGTCTGCTGTAACTTAGTATATAGTAGATTTACTATATGTGCTGCTGAAGTGAGCACTAGTATATAGTGAACTTAAACATACAACCAAACTTTACTACAAATTAAAAGATACATGGGGCAAAAATGTGACTAAAAAACCCCTAAAAGCATGTTTTTTCTTCCCCTTTCAATATTTGAAGACCTGGGCCCTGTTCTTTGTTTTTCCAGTTTTTATTTAAATTCCAGTTAGTTAACATACAGTGTAATATTAGTTCCAGGTGTACGATATAGTGATTCAACAACTCCATACATCACCCGGTGATTATCACAACAGGTGCACTCCTTAATCCCCATCACCTGTTTAACCCATCCCCCACCCACCTCCCCTCTGGTAACCATCAGTTTGTTCTCAGTAGTTAAGAGTCTGTTTCTTGGTTTGCCCCTCTCTCTCTCCCTTTTCCTTTCACTCATTTGTTTTGTTTCTTGAATTCCACATGAGTGAATTTGTCTTTTGGCATTTGTCTTTCTTTGACTTATTTTGTTTAGCATTATACTCTCTAGCTCCATCTATGTCATTGCAAAACGCCAAGATTTCATTTGTTTTTATGGCTCAGTAATATTCCATTGTGTTTATATATATATATATAAACATACCATACACACACACACACACACACATACCATATCTTCTTTATCCATTCATCTATTTATGAACACTTGGGCTGTTTTCCATAACTTGGCTATTGTAAATAATCTGCTATAAACATCCAGGTGCCTATATCCCTTTGAATTAGTATTTTTGTATGCTTTGGGTAAATACCTAGTAGTATGATTGCTGGATTGTAGGATGGTTCTATTTTTACCTTTTTGAGGAACCTCATTACAGTTTTCCGCAGTGGCTGCACCAGTTTGCATTCCCATCAACAGTGCATGAGGATTACCCATTTCTCCACATCCTCGCCAACACCTGTTGTTTCTTGAGCTTTTTATTTTAGCCATTCTGAGAGGCATGAGTATCTCATCATACTTTTGATTTGCATTTCCCTGATGAGGAGTGATGTTGAGCATCTTTTTATGTGTGTGCTGGCCATCTGTATATCTTCTTTGGAAAGATGTCTATTCATGTCTTCTGCCCATTCTTAATTAGATTATTCATTTTTGGGGTACTGAGTTTTATAAGTTCTTTATATATTTGGATACTAACTCTTTAACAGATCTGTCATTTGCAAATATCTTCTCTCATTCCGTGGGTTCCTTTTAGTTTTGCTGATTGTTTCCTTTGCTATGCAGAATTTTATTTTGATGTAGTCTCAATAGTTTTTGATTTTGTTTCCCTTGCTTCAGGAGACATACCTAGAAAGAAGTTGCTATGACTGATGTCAAAGAAGTTACTGCTTATGTTCTTTTCTAGCATTTTTATGGCTTCAGTTCTCACATTTTGAAATTATTCTTTGTGTATGGTGTAAGAAAGTGGTCCAGTTTCATCCTTTTGCATGTTGCTGTCCAGTTTTCCCAACGCCATTTGTTGAAGAGACATTCTTTTTCCCATTGGCTATTTTTTTCCTGCTTTGTCAAAGATTAATTGACCATATAATTATGGGTTCATTTCTGGATTTTCTATTCTGTTCCATTCATCTGTGTGTCTATTTTTGTGCTGGTATCATACTGTTTTGATTACTACAGCTTTGTAATATAACTTGAAGTCCAGAATTGTGAGGCCTCCAGCTGTGTTTTTCTTTTTCAAGGTTGCTTTGGCTATTTGGGGTCTTTTGTGGTTCCATATAAACTTTAGGATTGTTCATTCTAGCTCTGTGAAAAATGCTGTTGGTATTTTGATAGGGATTGCATTAAATGTGTAGATTGCTTTGAGGAGTATAGACATTTTATCAATATCTGTTCTTCCAATCCCTGAGCATGGAATGTCTTTCCATTTCTTTGTGTCATCTTCAATTTCTTTTCAGAGTACAGGTCTTTCACCTCTTTGGTTAGATTTATTCCTAGGTATCTTATGGTTTTTGGTACAATTGTAAATGAGAGTGATTCCTTAATTTCTCTTTCTGCTTCCTTACTGGTTTATAGAAATGCAACAGATTTCTGTACGTTGATTTTGTATCCTGTGACTGCTGAATTCATGTATCAGTTCTAGCAGTTTTTTGGTGGAGTCTTTTGGGTTTTCTATATATATTATCATGTCATCTGCAAATAGTGAAACTTTTACTTCTTCCTTGCCTATCTGGATGCTTTTTATTTCCTTTTGTTGTCTGATTGCTGTGGCTAGGACTTCCAGTACCGTGTTGAATAAAACTGGTGAGAGTGGACATCCCTGTCTTATTCCTGACTATAGAGGAAAAGCTCTCAGTTTTTCCCCATTGAGGATGATATTAGCTGTGGGTTTTTCTCGATGGCCTTTATTATGTTGAGGGTTTTTATTATGTATGGATGTTGTACTTTGTCTTTTCCCTATGCTTTTTTGCATCTATTGAGATGATCATATGGTTCTTATCCTTTCTTTTATTAATGTGATGATGTAGCACGTTGTTGGATTTGCAAATATGGAACCTAGGCCCTGTTCTTTTTAATTATCTTTTCTATACTTGACCTTTGGACGTATGCTGAGTTTCTTCAGTTTCCTCAGATGCCTGGAGCAGCACAACTACCTGTGTCATTAACTTTGGGTTGTACACATAGCAAATCTCTGGTAAGCCTCTCTCTACTATCAAAACTTCTCAGCTTCTAAGTTTAACAGCACGCAGTGATTTCCATTGCCCCTGGAGCTTCACTTCTTGTTTCCTTTCTAATTCGTCCTGTCTATACTCTTGGAATAATTCTGAGTCTCCACACTTAAATTCCTTTTTTTTCCTTTCTCTCTGAATTCAGTTTTTATTAGAAGTTCTCTAAATAAAATCCTCTTTCCCCTCGCTGTAGCCCAGGTGGGAAGTACTGCTTGCAACTTCTGGAATCTCAGGGACTTAGTATCTCAAACACTAATTACCTCATTAAACAAATGATTACTTTGTCTTAGGAAGTACCCACTGTCATCCATAAAAAAAAAAAAATTAAAACACACACAATATTCTACCTTGTCTTAATCCACAATTAGTTTTTATTTTTTTATTTTTATTTTTTAAAGATTTTATTTATTTATTCATGAGAGACAGAGAGAGAGAGAGGCAGAAGGAGAAGCAGGCTCCCAAGGAGCAGAGAGCCCGATGCGGGACTTGATCCCAGGACCCTGGGATCATGACCTGAGCCGAAGGCAGACGCTTAACCATCTGAGCCACCCAGGCGCCCCACAATTAGTTTTTAGAGAAAAGATTAATTCTATGAAGTTTGTTCATCTGTCTGTATCTCAGTAATACCTGCTTCTAAGAGAACACATGGAGATAATCCAGAAAGGACAAGAGTCCATGCCAAGCCAGAGGAAGCTTAAGTATTTCAGGAGTAAATGGTCAGGAATCATTTTAATCCAGCAAATGAAAATGGTTTCTTTGTAGGCAAGAAGTGATTTCCATTCTGTCTGAGAAATAACTACAAAAACTGCCCATAAATGTAATTGGGAATAGATAAAATAAACATGCTCATCATGAAGAAACTCAAATTGGAAAACAAGCATGAAACAAATGCTGAATACAACGGTACCGACCAAATTGTTTTCCTTACCAATATTTCCTAATGACTGCTGCACTAATGTTCAGCTTGATCTTTTAAAGTTCTGTTTGGGGATGAAAAAAGTTTCCATGCAGGTGAGATCACATTTAATTTAATTTTTTTTTTAAGTAATTTCTAGGCCCAACATGGGGCTTGAACTCACAACCCTGAGATCGAGTCACATGCTCTTCTGACCGAGCCAGCCAGGTGCCCCGAGAATTTGGAGTTTAATTGAATTTCAGCTGCATATTGCAACTGAGGTATAAATAAATTAGGGAAGTTGGAGGGCAATTGCTATTACATGTTAGAATAAAAGAATTATTAAGCTTCAACAGTTAAGCTCAATTCTTTGTACCTGAATTGTGAGTACACAGGCACAGAAAGTCATTGTTACCTGAAATGGGTCCAGATGAAATACTTATCCTATATTACTCATTTTAGAAAAATGTGTCTTAATGATATCAAAAAGTATTATTAATACAGGTCAGTTAATCCAACATGTAAATAACTACAGCAATCTATTTTTTTTTAATTTTATTTTTAAACCCCCAATGTGGGGCTCAAACTTACAACCCCGAGATCCAGAATCACATGCTCTACCGACTGAGCCAGCCAGGCGTCCCTATAGCAATCTATTCTTTATCATTTATATTGATATTAATGAGCCTTGATCTTAGTCCCCCTATAATGATAACTGATGAAAACAGAGTAACCACTTACTTCAGTATGATAGAAGGCATTGGGATTTCAAAAAACTGTTCTCGAATGGGCACAAAGGGCAAGAGGCCAGTGAAGAAAAGGCCAAGAATGAGCAGAACACGTTGTAGACTGAAGAGTATAGGAATATCTGAATTCTAAAAGACACAAGCAATATTATGTTACTTTACAATTGCTCAGATGAAGAGGATTATTTCACATCCTCAAAATTTCCAAGACTGTATCTGGACATTCGTTAAAAGTACTCCCTGAATTATCAATATCCATCTCCAAACCCAACATTTAAAAATGGCTAGTCCTTGCCAAATGGGTCAGGATTTATTGTCAAGCCCTATGCTGTTAATTGATGATACTTAACTTAAGTATCTCTATTCCCTATTCTCTGCTTGCAACACCACTTCTGTCTGTTGGTGATAGTGCTTATCACTAGAGATTAAAAATACTGAACCTAATGGAATAAGACAAAGAAATGAAGAAATATTCAGTAACCTTACTCCTATTTAAAAAATATATAAGTAAAGATCGATATATATTCACATATATCCATATAGATATATAGGTGTTCCAATCTATAGATATAGTTATGTATTAGTTAAGCAGGATATGATATTGATATGTATAGATAAAATATAAACACTGTTGCAAATGTCATCTTTCAACTACGTTATGCATCAAATATAAATAGGATTTTGTAAGCTAGTCGAAGAATCTAGCCACCATTTTAGATTTCTATTGCAAAATGTGTTCAAGATCCCAAAACGCTTAGAATGCAAGCTTCGTATATATATATATATGAACTCTTTTCATCTTGTAAAACCGAAATTCTATGCTCAGCAAATGGCCCCTCATATCCCCATCTCCCTAACCCCTCCTATATTTGTCTTTAAAACAAACAGAAATTATGGTACAGTTGATTTTTTCCTTTTTTTCCTTTTAAAGATTTTATTTATTTGAGAGAAAGAGCATGAGAGAGAGGGAGAGATCACGAGCAGGAAGGAGGGATAGAGGGAGAAGCAGACTCCCTGCTGAGCAGGGAGCCCGATGCAGGACTCGGTCCCAGGACCCTGGGATCATGACCTGAGCTGAAGGCAGACGCTCAACAGCTTGAGCCACCCAGGCGCCCTAAAGCTGATTTTTTTCTATACAAAAGTAATATATTGAAGAAGTTATGTAGAAAAGTAATTTATTTTAAATATTCCCTCTAAATTACCCACTTCTTTCTTTAAAAAAAAAATAGAGTAAATAATTTTGAGGATTTCTTTTGCCCCTATGTTCACATGACACTTTGTAACATTTTAGGCTTATTTATATGCAGGTGTTTCAGCTGTAACACAATGTACAAGTCCCTGAAAAACTTGATTTCTGCAAATTCATGCCCTAAGAGTAACAGAGCTTATGGGAAAAACAGGGTTCGGGCCGACCCTCAAAACTTACACAACTTTGGACCCAGAGAACTAAAAACAATAACTGGTACTTCTGGAAAGCCATGCCAGGCTGCCCAGGGTGGGAGAGGGTGGGGTTTGGTATGCTGGCCCACCACTGATGTAACAGCTGGTGCCACTGGGTATCTTCTAAATTAGAACATCTGAAAATCTTGCCATTTACAACATGGATGGACTGAGAGGGTATTATGCTAATGAGTCAGACAGAGAAAGACAAATACCATATGATTTCCCTTATATGTGGAATCTAAAAAACAAAATGAATAAACAAACAAAAAGCAGAAACAGACCCATAAATACAGAGAACAAACTGATGGTTGCTAGAGGGGAGGGGAGTGGAGGAATGGGTGAAGGGGAGTGAGAGATATAGGCTTCCAGTCAGGGAATGAATAGGTCATGGGGGTAAAAGGTATAGCATAGGGAACACAGTCAATGGTATTGTAATAGTGTTGTGTGGTTAACAGCTGGTAACTACACTTTTGGTGAGCACAGCCTAACGTATAGACTTGTGGAGTCACTAATACCACATCGTGTTTCAATTATACTTGAATGACATAAATAGAATTTATGGAATGGGACCCAGGCATTAGTTGTGTTTTGTTTTGAGACTTTCCAGGTGATTCCAACATACAGCCAGGCTTAAGAACCACTGCATTAAGAATGAATTAAAAATCATTGCGTGAGACTAAGCGCCACATGTTTTCCCCTCCCCACTGTGTGCCCCATTTTTCTTTTTATATTTTTTGTTTTTTTAATTTAAATTCAATTAGCCAAGTTATTATTATTTTTTTTAAAGATTTTATTTATTTATTTGAGACAGAATGAGAGAGAGAGAGCACATGAGAGGGGGGAGGGTCAGAGGCAGAAGCAGGCTTCCCGCCGAGCAGGGAGCCTGATGCGGGACTCGATCCAGGGACTCCAGGATCATGACCTGAGCCGAAGGCAGTCGCTTAACCAACTGAGCCACCCAGGCGCCCAAGCCAAGTTATTTTTATATTTTTAGTTTCTAGCATTTGGGAACTAAAGGGCTAATGTAAAATTCTTATAAATCAATGACTTAATTATATGGCATGTTCATAATATGAAAAATATGACTGAGACATTTTTACTATGATGTTTGAAAATTACTGCTGGAGGTTTTGGAGTTTTTAAATTCTAAAATGACAGAAAGCCAGAGGCTTTGAGAAAAATATGTGAATCAAGGGAAAAGTTCTGTGATTCTGAGTCAGAAGTGGACTTCTTCTTTTTTTTTTTTTAAGATTTTATTTATTTATTTGACAAAGAGACACAGCCAGGGAGGGAACACAAGCAGGGAGAGTGGGAGAGGGAGAAGCAGGCTTCCTGCCAAGCAGGGAGCCCGATGTGGGGCTCGATCCCAGGATCCCGGGATCATGACCTGAGCCGAAGGCAGACACTTAACAACTGAGCCACCCAGGTGCCCCAGAAGTGGACTTCTTATTTTGAAACAACAGATTCACAAAAAGTTGTAAAAACACAGTCCCATGTACCCTTAACCTTTCCCAAACGGTAACATTTGATGTAACTGTAGTTCAGTATCAAAACCAGGACTTGACACTGGTAGATCACGGGCGTTTTTTGTTGTTTTCTTTTCTCTTTCTGTCCTTCTTTTCTTTTCTTTTCTTTATTCCTTCCTTCTTCCTTTCCTTTCCTTTCTCCTTTCCTTTCCTTTCCCCTTTCCCCTCTCCTCTCTCCTCCCCTCTCCTCTCTTTTCTCCTCCCCTCTCCCCTCTCCTCCCCTCCCCTCCTCTCCCCTCTCCTCCCCTCCCCTCCTCTCCCCTCTCCTCCTCCCTCCCCTCCCCTCCCCTCCCCTCCCCTCTCCTCCCCTCCCCTCTCCTCCCCTCCCCTCCCCTCTCCCTCCCCTCTCCTCCCCTCCTCTCCCCTCTCCTCCCCTCCCCTCCTCTCCCCTCTCCTCCCCTCCCCTCCCCTCCCCTCCCCTCCCCTCCCCTCCTCTCCCCTCTCCTCCCCTCCCCTCCCCTCCCCTCCCCTCCCCTCCCCTCCTCTTCCCTCTCCTCCCCTCCCCTCCTCTCCCCTCTCCTCTCCTTTCCTTTCTTTTTAACACCCTATTGGCCTGGCATATCACTGCTAATTAGACTATAGATCTTACTCAGTTTTCACCACTTTTAAAATCTGCTTTCATTTGTGCATGTGTTTGGTTTAGCGCGGTTTTGTTTTTTAAGATTTTATTTACTTATTTGAAAGAGAGTGAGAGAGGGAGCACAGAGGGAGAGGGAGAAGCAGACTCCCTGCTGAGCAGAGAGCCCAATACGGGGATCAATCCCAGGACCCTGAGATCATGACCTGAGCCAATGGCAAATGCCTAACCAACTGAGTCACCCAGGTGCCCAGGTTTAGTGCAGTTTTAGCAGTGTTTCAATTCGTGTAACCACCACCACAATCAAGATACAGAACAGTTCCATCACAGCCAAGAACTCCCTCCCCCCAGCTTTTTGTTGTTATTGCCCCCACTCTCTACCCGACCCCCAGTCTCTGTCTCCTGGAAGCCACTTATCTGTTCTTCATGTGTATAGTTTTGAGAACGTTACATAAATGGAATCATACAGTATGTAATCTTTTTGTTTTGTTTTTGGTTTTTGTTTCTTTAATTTTTTTTTTAATTCCAGTTAGTTAACATCGTTATATTAGTTTCAGGTGTACAATATAGAGATTCCAGTATGTAATCTATTGAGGTTAATTTTTTTCACTAAGCAAAATGTCTTTGAGGATTAGGCCAGTCAGGTTGTTACAGGTATCAGGAGTTCATTTCCTTTCATGGCTGAATAGTATTACATCATGTGGTTATGTCAGTTTGTTCAGAGATCTACCCACTGAAGGGCATTCTGGTTGGTTTCCAGTATTTTCTATAATAAATAAAGCTGCTATAAACATTCACATACAGGTTTTTATGTGCATAAGTTTTCATTTTTCTGAGATAAATGCCCAAGAGTGAGACTACTGGTTAATATGGTAAGTGTATGTTTAGTTTGGTAAGAAATCTACCCAACAAATGAAGAAAGTGGCTGTACTATTTTACTTTTCCACCAGCAATCTGGAGAGATCCAGCTTCTCCTCATCTTCTCCAGCATTTGCTGTCATCACTATTTTTTATTTTTTAAAAAACATTTGAATAATGTAAAACAACCAGCAGGCCATGAGGCCTCCCGTACAGTCACTTTTAATGACACGTGAAAATACCCTTAGACAATGATTAGTTATGGGAAAGTCTTAGCACTAAATTCTTAGCATCTGAAGCCATTTATCCCAATGATCACTGTTTTCTCCTTGTGTACACAAGCTACCTTGGAATCTCAGAGAGCCTGTGGCACATAAATAAAACTTACTTGCCTTAATGAAGGCTTCAACGGTACTTTTAATTATAATGGTGCCAATTCTGGATCTATGTTTTTGCCTTCTTTGCTAGGAAGAAAGGCCTTCCCAAAAGAAATCTTTGTATTTTGAATTGCTATTTGTGTCACAGTATTTCTTCTGCACTATCACTTGTATTCTGAGAGAGAGTCTTTAATGCTTAAGGTTTTTTTTTTTTTTAACATTTTGAATTTCATATTCTCCTAGCTATACTTGCTATAGTATATAAGTATATAAACTATACTTATAATAGCTATAGTATATAGCTAAACTTGCTTATAGAGGCTTAGCATACCATGTCTAAATATATCCAATTAACTTTTTATAGATACATTTTCTTCAAACAGAAAAATTTTGGTGGGTAGATGGCCCTACTTTTATATACCACCTGATAACTATGATCTTGGCTTAATTTGATTAATTCTGTTTGGGAGGTAGGGAACAGAGAAGCTTGAGCTACAGAGTTGAAGGACTAAAATCCTTTCCTCAATTTAAAATTACACAAAAGTTTCAATAACCTAACAAAAAACCGACATTGTAAGACAGGAATCATATCTTGTTTCATAATGTACATAATAAAATGTTGGCAAACAATTAATATTATTAGCATGTGAAAATAAGAATTCTGTGAGCCAGCCCACATACATTATTTCTAATAAATCCATTACCTCTATTAGTAAACTTCTGGTTAGGTGCTTCCACCCAGTACTATCTGTCTTTGTATCAAGGCTTTGAAATAAGATACTTCTAAAAATTATTAGTGTGATAACATTTATAGATACACAACAACAGCAAGAAAGATCATTCCGTATCATGTTTGAAGCTTACCTCTCTGTAGCACTTTTCTACAATTTCATAACTGGCGTTACCCCACACCGTTATGTGTTCTCGTCTGTACTGCTTTACCAGCTCTGAAACCTACATGTGAAAATGCAAAAGTTCATGCATGTGCCTACTGGTAAATCCGCTTACATTACTTCACTTAAAAAATGGATTACAATTGGAGCACCTGGGTGGCTCAGTCAGTTAAGCGTCTGCCTTCAGCTCAGGTCATGATCCCAGGGTCCTGGAATTGAGTCCCGAATTGGGCTCCTTGCTCAGCAGGGAGCCTGCCTCTCCCTCTGCCCCTCCCGTACTCATCCCCCCCCAATAAATAAATAAATAATCTTTAAAAAAATGGATTACAATTGACTTTCTGCCAGTGAATAATATAAACTTTGGGAAGAACCAATATGTGAATTCAGATTATTTTATAAAATATAAGCAATTACTTACATTTTACCATTCTATGATTTATCTAATAGAAGGCAACTATTTAGTCATTTGATATATAAACTAACTACAAAGGAAGCAAGTAAATTTGAAGAAGTTAATTATATCAAACAACTGGTTCACAGGAGCTCACTTTTATCCATGACTGGGACAGGACAGCTTGCTCTGGAAATAGGCCTTTCTATAGTAAAGTGATCTCTTCTACCAGGGCATTATTTAAAACAATACTGATCCCTAGAGTGTCACATTTCCTTGAATATTATCAATCTGTGAAGTCACCTACTGTAGCCTTATTCAGTTTGTGAAATCCGATACAACATACCCAGAAGAGGGATTGGCTCACGTACCTTCTTTATCAGCACATTGTTGTTGACCTTGATATCGATGTTAATGGGAGTGTTAGGAAAAGCCTCAAAAACTTCCTTTAGTAATGGAATTCGGTTATCTTTTCCTTCACATTGGCATGCTGAGAAAGCAAGATTTTTAAAGGTATTTTTAAAAGATAACTTTCACTTTTTTGAGGATTGGGAGAAAAAAGATAAAGTATTGTTTTCACAATAGTATGTATTCATAGAGGACATTTACAAAATGATGAAAAGTAAAGAAAAGGACAATCATTTAAAATCCAACAATTTAGATATAACCGTTGTAACCATTTAGTATACTTTCTCTAGTCTTTTTTTCCTATGCATAATTTAATAGTTATAATATAGTGTACCTACAGATCTTAACCTGATCTTTTTACATAAGTAAAAAATAAATATTACATGTTAATACACTTAGAATTTTGAATTATGATTTAAAATATTTTCATTAAACCTTTTGAGATAACTATATATTCATTTGGAGTTATAAGAAAAATATACAGAGATTTATGCACCTTTTACCCAGATTCCCCAATAACCTCTTGTAAAACTACAGTACAATATCATAACCATGACATTGGTATTATTATAATCCGCCAATCTTACTCTATTTATTATTTTAAATGGTTTTAAAATGCTCCATTGAGTAACTATGCAACAATTTAATTATTTTAATTTAAACATTCTCCCAGAAAGGTAAGAGTTTACCATTCCAAAATATGCCACTTTGGCATAAGGATTATTTTTAACTGAAGGCAACTGAAATGAAGCAGATACAAAAAAAGCACTCTGTCCTTTCCCATTTGCCTAGGAACAAGACTTAAATTTGTACAAACATAAATCACCAACAACTTTAGACCCTTCTCAGCACCACAGAACTCTGCATAACAAACTATTGACTAGCCTTTATCTTCCATTATTCACCCATATATTTACCTTCCCATGAATATATCTACCCTAGAAACTCAAAATCCTTTTTATTTGTCTTGTCAATTCTCTGAAAATGTATTGGATTTTTTTGTTAAGATGCTATATAAACTCAAGTTCTAGCCAGGCTTTAAGTTACTCAACCCTGAGTTTCTACCATGATACATATATTAATAAATTTGTTTGTTTTTCTCTTGTTAATCTCTCTTTTGTTATAAATCCTTGCTGAGAACCTAGAGGGTAGAAGGAAAAAAAAAAATCCCCTATACTCTACCAGTGGATACGGAGGTTGTTTGGAAAGTTTTACTATGATATCACCACCGAAATTTTCAGATATTGAGAATATATATATGTTCAGGCAAGGGAAATAAATGCTAATTCAGGAATGTGTTAAAGAATTGTATTAGTGCAGCTACTCAAAGAAAACTGAGTCACAAAAAAATTAGAAGAGGATTTTTAGTCATTTTTTACCTTTCCTGAGCATTATTTTCTTTATTCTTTCCCTAATCTCTTTTGCCTTGAATCATTTACATAATATACTATGTATGCTATATAAGTATAAAATTTTCCCTTCCATCTGAAACTTTAATCCCACTACTATATGAATAACAAAACGGTAACAGATCCTTTATTTCATCTTCATTGTACAAAGTGTATCAACAAAGTAAATTAAATCCATGTCAAAAAATTATTTATAATTAAGGCTCATATGAAAAGGCAGCATATAGGGGCGCCTGGGCGGCTCAGTCGTTAAGCGTCTGCCTTCGGCTCAGTTCCTGATCCCCTGGGATCGAGTCCCGCATCGGGCTCCCTGCTCTGCGGGAAGCCTGCTTCTCCCTCTCCCACTACCCTGTGCTTGTTTTGTTTTTTTTTAAAGATTTTATTTATTTATTTGACAGAGAGAGAGAGACAGCCAGAGAGAGAACACAAGCAGGGTAAGTGGGAGAGGGAGAAGCAGGCTTCCCGCCGGGCAGGGAGCCAGATGCGGGGCTTGATCCCAGAACCCTGGGATCATGACCTGAGCCGAAGGCAGACGCTTAACGACTGAGCCACCCAGGCACCCCTCCCCGCTGCTTGTGTCCCCTCTCTCGCTGTGTCTCTGTCAAATAAATAAATAAAACCTTAAAAAAAAAAAAAAAGGAAAAAGAAAAAGAAAAGGCAGCATATAAATGAGAAAAAAAAAAGGAAAAAATGTGTTACTGTTTTGTCTGTTATGTATTCCATTCCTATTGCCTTTTTACTACTCCTTGTAATGATGGGGCTCTGGATCATTTTGACCAGACTCTCAATCATTTGGCTTTGTCTCCCTGGCCACAAAGAGAGCACATGGACCTTAAGCATAACACTGTAAACATGAGGAGAGGTCTCCTGAAATCCTCAGCTGAATGCATCATATATTTTTGATGTTGGCAGAGTCCATCTTTATGTGTAGAAGGTCTGCCTGAAAACAAAGCTAACATAAATGAAACCAGACCAAGAAACAGAGATAGAGACTGATTATTAGTTAAGCAACTGAAATTAGTCATGTCTGAAGGCATAGAACCTCCAGGCTTTTAAGTTAGGAGGACCAAATTTTTTTTTTTTTTAAGAACCAAATTCTTAAAAAAAATTTCTTTTGAACTATCCTGACATGGATTTCTAGCACTATAATTGAGTTTAGACTTACTGTACACTACCTAATTGAACTGTAAAAATTATGTTAACATATAAAAATTTAGCTTGTTTTTACCTCCCCAGCACCCTTTCTTCCCTTGGAAAACTGCATCTCCCTTAAGCCACACTATTCTGATTGGGCTCTCAAAAACAGGACCCACTCCCCCTTTATTCTCATGGGCATGCATATGACCTAGGTCTGGTCTATTATAATAGCCAATTTTTTTGTCCACAGTGACTATCTCAAGGATGGACACATGACCCATGCTGGGCCAATCAGTGTCTTTCTCTAGAACTTTCCCTTGAAGCTCAAAGGAAGATTGCTTTTTTACCCTTGGGTCAATGTGTGGGCAGGATATAAATGAGTTGTCAGTGATCATGTTCCCTGCCACAAGGACAAACTCCATTTACACTGGAAGAAGGTAACACCCAAGAGAAGCAGAACCACAGAATGACTCAAAAAGAGTCCCCTTTGTGCCCTTGGATTCAATAATGTTTAACATCAGATCCACCATTATTATAGACAGTTAATGATAAACTAAATCTGTTGTTTCTTTTTTCCCTTAAGCTAGTGTAAACTCGTTTCTGTTAACAATCTAAAAAGTCTGAACATGATGTTCTAGTCCTGCACTGTTTAAGATGGTAGCCACTAGGGGCGCCTGGGTGGCTCAGTCGTTAGCGTCTGCCTTCAGCTCAGGTCATGATCCCAGGGTCCTGGGATCGAGCCCTGCATCGGGCTCCCTGCTGGCAGGAAGCCTGCTTCTCCCTCTCCCACTCCCCCTGCTTGTGTTCCCTCTCTCACTGTCTCTCTCTCTGTCAAATAAATAAATAAAATCTTAAAAAAAAAAAAAAAAAGATGGTAGCCACTAGCCACACAGGGTTATTTAAATTAAAATTAAATAAAACTAAAAATTCAGTCCCTGAGATGGACTAGCCACATTTTAAGTGCTCAACAGTCACATGTGGTTATTGGCTATTGTAACTGACATTGCAAATACAGAACACCTCTATCACTACACTCCATTTAAACAGTGCTGCTATTTTTTTAGTTAAGTAAAAATTTTGTTAGCTTGTTAAGTATGGAAAAATTAATTTTGCAGTCAAAAGAATTGCCATGGGCAATAGCTATTCACACCCAGGTAAGATGTTTGCAAGGATTAACTTAGGGGGCGCCTGGGTGGGTCAGTCAGTTAAGCGGCTACCTTTGGCTCAGGTCATGATCTCGGGGTCCTGGGATCGACTCCAGCATCGGGCTTCTCAGCAGAGAGTCTGCTTCTCCCTCTCCCTCTGTGATCTCTCTAGTTCTCACTCTCTCTCAAATAAATAAATAAATAAACAAACTTTGAAGAAAAAAAAGGATCAACGTAGAAAAAAGTCAAACAGATAACACTAACTTTGGAATGTTATACAATAAGAATAATATTACATCTAATAGTGGGAGAAACAAAGAAATTAAAGTTACGTTAATAACAAAGGGAAAAAAAAGCACATGCTAAAGTGATGTGAAGATATTTACATTACATGCCTTAGCCAGCATAGAATGTAGAAAATGAGTTGGGGAAAGAAATTTGTCCCCACTATTGTTCTGGGCAGAAGATAACCACTGGGAAATACTATAAAAAGAGAGAGAGGAAAACAAGAGTGATAGGCAAGGAATATACCATAAGATGTGCTGGGCGATGGAATGAGTGAAGTGGCCTCTATAAACGTGCTAGAACTTGAAAATTGACCGTTCTGACCAACTCTAGATTACCCAAATTATGTATTTTTCATGAAAAAAAAAGGCTATTTTCAAGTAAGCAGGATAGATAATAACAAACCCTTTGGGTAACACATTTTTATATTCTTTATTTTTTAATGCAGTCTGTGGCACATTAAAGCACCTTAAAAAAAAAATTACTTCTTCAGGGCGCCTGGGTGGCTCAGTTGGTTAAGCGACTGCCTTCGGCTCAGGTCATGATCCTGGAGTCCCTGGATCGAGTCCCGCATCAGGCTCCCTGCTCAGCAGGGAGCCTGCTTCTCCCTCTGACCCTCCCCCCCCTCATGTGCTCTCTCTCTCTCTCATTCTCTCTGTCTCAAATAAATAAATAAAATCTTTAAAAAAAAAAAATTACTTCTTCAGTAAAATTGTGAACCACAAAGAAAGCCAGAGGCCTAAAATCTGTATTCCTCTGAGAGCTAGTAGTCTCTCTCTCTCCAGTATTTAAAGAAAAGTAAGCAACAGTTCTGAGTAGGGAAATAGAACCAAAAAAAAAAAAAAAGGAACTATCGCCTAATCTGAATCAAGTTTTTACAGTATTATATATTAGCCTATTTCAAATGTAGTAAACTTCACATTTGATGCAGAGTCTTAATTGTGATAAACTGAATGCAATATGAACAAAAATTAATTCTTTTTATAGGTGTCTAAAAAGTGAGACATGGCAGTGCTATTAATAAGGCATTTGAAGAGAATCTAGGGGCGCCTGGTTGGCTCATTCAGTAAAGCATGTGACTCTTGATCTCAGGATCATGAGTTCAAGCCCCATGTTGGGCAAGGAGCCTACTTAATCAAAAAAGAGAGAGAGAGAGACTCTTCAGATGGAGAGGTAGCATGGTGCAGCTGAACACTGCGCTGGTTAGAAAGAGACCTAGTTTCAAGTCCTAGATCTGTGATTTATTTGTTGTATGACCTTAAGTTAATTTACATCTTTAAGCCTCAATTTCCTTATCTAAAACAGGAAGAGACAGAATTATATGGTCTCAAAGGTCACTGCATATTCAAAAGTTTTATGACTTTGGGTGCCTGGGTGGCTCAGTTGGTTAAAGTGATCGCCTTCGGCTCAGGTCATGATCCTGGAGTCCCAGGATCAAGTCCCGCATCAGGCTCCCTTCTCAGCGGGGAGTCTGCTTCTCCCTCTGACCCTCCCCACTCTCATGTGCTCTCTTTCTCTCATTCTCTCTCTCAAATAAATAAAATCTTTAAAAAAAAAAAGTTTTATGACTTTATGAAAAAAGGTATATAAATAAAAACTTAAAAAAAGAAAGTACAAAACCTGAAAAAAAAATTAAAACATTCTTTTCCTCAAAGGACCTTTTAATCTTTGTGAAGCTTTGGCTTTGCTCTACAAGGGAAAAAATTAAACAAAACAAAACAAAACCCCCCCAAAACAAACAAACAAAAAACTTCACTTATGAAATGTTTTTAACCTTCACAAATCCATAATTGACACAAATGTAGTAGCTTGGCAAGTATAATCCTGTTAATCACAAGAATGAAAAAAATGTTTCTGCAAACCAACACAGCTTAATGATACTCACCTGGAAAGTAAAATCAAACAATTTTCAGATCTAAACATCCTTTAGAATAGCTAATTTAAACAATTTTCTGATTCTTATTTGGCTTTCTTAAATTTTCCAATCAAGGAGAAATTATACTGACCAATTTTTAATCTAGTTCACAGAGCAGTTACAATTCTTTAGATCCTTGACATTTAACCAGGGTTTTAACTATATGCAAACTATACCACACCAAGGACCACAACATGTAGCATCTTGTAGTTTTACTGAGTTACATTTGAATCATTCAAAACATGAGGCTGAATTGTGATAGTGTGGGACCCTGTACCTGCTCAGCAACCTGTATCTCTAGCTGTGTATGTTCCATTCTAATATGTTCCATTCTAACAAATCCAACAAACAGCCAAGGAACATGCTCCTTTGTGAGAAATATTCCCTCACAAGAGAGAAAACTGCTATGCTGATGATTAAAAAGTGATGGTGACCAGGAAATGGGTGGTTAATCTGCGTAATAGAATTCTCTCTAATAATTTAAGATAGGGAGCACTGAAATGACATAAAATCAAATGGTATAGAATCAGTAAGGATCCAAAAGGAGGTCTTTCCAATGTCTTTTCCTTTGTTTTTTTTTTTTTACCTATGGTGGATTATTACTACAAGTTATAGTAATCTTCTAGAATTTGAAGCTTCAGAAATGCAAAGTAGCCCTAATAATATCTGGGTTTCTTGTAATTAGTATTCAGGCTTAAATTAACTGTACATAAGCTTAAATAGAATGAGCCAATTAAATCTTTAGCCTTCATCTCAGGGTCAGTATTTCAGATTTGTAGGTCTGAGACAATAAGTATTGAGGGCAGTACCTTTAGCCAGAACTTATTATCAGAAGAAAACACACATGTATATCTAATTCTCAGTGTAAATAAATACACTTTAATGTCAATATGTAAGCTGCAAATGGGAAATATTACCTCTTTGAAATGTGACGTCCAGTTTGCCAAGGTAAGGTGGGAGTTCCTTTAAAAGATATGATTGAAAAACAGTTAACTCTCAAAAATTTTAAGTATTTTAGTGTCTTACAGTAAGACAAAGATTTGCTTCTTCAAAAAAATAAAATAAAAACATTACCTATGTTTACATAAGGCACGCTTTAGCCAAACATCCCAAACAGCAAATTAAACATATAACTACTTACTTTCACAATTTAGAAGAAAAGAAATCTGTACTATTTAATATGGACCTTTTCAAATAATAAATATATAAATATCTCAGTAGACAAGTGTGAAGATAGACTATTTTATTTTATTTTTTTATTTTTTTAAAGATTTTATTTATTTATTTGACAGAGAGAGAGACAGCGAGAGAGGGAACACAAGCAGGGAGAGTGGGAGAGGGAGAAGCAGGCTTCCGGCCAAGCAGGGAGCCCAATGCGGGGCTCGATCCCAGGACCCTGGGATCATGACCTGAGCTGAGGGCAGACGCTTAAGGACTGAGCCACCAGGCGCCCCGAAGATAGACAATTTTAAAAAATGACTAACATACAGTAAAATCTTTAAACTCACAAATAATCAAATAAGTGCTAATTAAAATTTAAATTTAGGAAATTTTTGTTATTATAATACCCAATAATGGTAAGGGTACAGCAAAATGGGAATTCCTCTAACACCACATTTTTGCACTTTCTAAGAAATTTTTACTTTATTTTTAAGTAATCTCTGAGACCAATGTGTGGCTTGAACTCACAACCCTGAGATCAAGAGTTGCATGCTCTACCAACTGAGCCAGTCAGGCGCCCCAGATTTTGAAACTCTTAAACACTTTTAGAAAGTAAGTTGGCAATAATGACTTTCAATATGTATTAAGCCACTAAAATATTCTTAATCTCTACCCAATAATTTCCCTGCTGGGAGTTTATTTAGGGAAATAATTTTAAAAACAGAGATAATTTGTGCTTGCTTTGGCAGCACATATACTAACAATAGAGATAACTTTTATTTTTATATTGATATTTTCAATAAATATAAATATATTTATATAGATGCCTTCATAAATATATATCTTTTAAAAACTCTATATAAGCATATAAATATAGAGAAAGCTTTATCTTTATGTATGAAGATGTTCAGTGCAGTGTTATCTCTAATGGTGAAAACTTAGAACTAATTCAAATGCCCAACAACAGAGGAGGAATGGTTAAAAATAACTATATCCACTCAATGGAATAACTGCAGTCACTTGAAATGTTTATGAAAAATAAGGGGATCTGAAAGGGCTAAATACGACACAATTCCAAATATATAACATTCTGGAAAAGGTAAAACTATGGAGACAATAAAAAGATCAGTGGTTGCCAGGGTGTGGAGGGGCAGGAAGGATGAACAGGCAGAACACTGAGCATTTTAGGGCAATGAAACTATTATGTATGACACTGTAATAGTTGATACATCATTATACGTTAAAACTGACATGTCATCCTATGTTAAAAACCTATAGAATGTACACCATTAAGAATAAACCCTAGGGGCACCTGGGTGGCTCAGTCGGTTAAGCGGCTGCCTTTGGCTCAGATCATGATCCCAGGGTCCTGGGATCGAGCCCCACATCGGGCTCCCTGCTCGGCGGAGAGCCTGCTTCTCCCTCTACCTCTGTCTGCCGCTCTGCCTACTTGTGCTCTCTCTCTATCTCTGTTAAATAAATACATAAATAAATCTTAAAAAAAAAAAAAAAAGAATAAACCCTAATGTTAACTATGGATTTTGCGATGATAATGTGTCACTGTAGGTTCACAGACTGTACCAAATGTACCACTCTGGTACAGGATGTTTTGGTGGGGGGGGGGCTGTACATGTAGAGTCAGAAGCTATTCTGTACTTTCTGCTCAATTTTGCTGTGAACCAGTAACTGCTCTAAAAACTAAAGTCTATTTAAAAAAAAAAAAGAAAAAGCAGGGGCGCCTGGGTGGCACAGCTGGTTAAGCGTCTGATTCCTGGTTTCGGCTCAGGTCATGATCTCAGGGTCCTGGGATCAAGCCGCACATCAGGCTCTACAGGGAGTCTGCTTGAGGATTCACTCTCTCCCTCTCCCCCTGCTTTCACTATCTCTCACTCTCGCTCTCTAAAATAAATAAATCTTTTTTAAAAAAAGCATGGAAAAATGTGTATCATGCCATAATGTTAAAGTGTCCAAAAACACAATCTATAGGGGTGCCTGGGTGGCTCAGTTGTTAAGCGTCTGCCTTTGGCTCAGGTCATGATCCCAGGGTCCTGGGATCGAGCCCCACATCAGGCTCCCTGCTCAGTGGGAAGCCTGCTTCTCCCTCTCCCACTCCCCCTGCTTGTGTTCCCTCTCTCGCTGTCTCTCTCTCTGTCAAAAAATAAATAAAATCTTTAAAAAAAAACAACAACACAATATATGTTATATACAGTAGAATCACAACCAGGCAAAAAACATACAGGGTACACATACAGATAGCATCCTGTTAATGTAAGTTTTCTTTAGGTGGTAAAATAAAGCATTATTTTCCATCCATTTATCAGTTTTTACTATAATGGCAAGTAAACTACTAAAATCGGATTTCCCATACTTGAAGACTAAAACTAATTCATCTATTTAATCTGAATCAAATAAATTGTAGAATACTTCAAGCAATTTGATGTCCAATAGTTTTACATTTGAGGACTTTGGTAATCTTGTTAAAATACTTATAAAAATAAGTCTCCAGGGCGCCTGGGTGGCTCAGTCGGTTAAGCGACTGCCTTCGGCTCAGGTCATGATCCTGGAGTCCCGGGATCGAGTCCCACATCGGGCTCCCTGCTTGGCGAGGAGCCTGCTTCTCCCTCTGACCCTCCCCCCTCTCATGCTCTCTCTCTCTCTCATTCTCTCTCTCTCAAATAAAAATAAATAAAATCTTTAAAATAAATAAATAAATAAATAAATAAATAAATAAATAAATAAATAAATAAATAAAATAAAAATAAGTCTCCAAAGATGTATCCACAGATTTCTGTAGTGAGTATAAATCCTCACTGGAAGTTAGAATAGTTTTTATAATTTCCTTTGGCATTCATTATCTAATCACTATCATTTATTTTTTACTATTTATCTGGCATTCATTGTTTTTAAAAATCCTACAGGCCCTAATGTCTACTAGATATTAGTTTATCATGCATTTTTACTTACACAGTACTTGAGATCAGAGATGTTTACATTGACCCCAGTTGATCTCTTTAAATTCTCATCATGGGACACTACAACTTGCTCATCTTTTGTGATATGGCAGTCCAATTCCAGCATATCAGTTCCAATTGTAACTGCACTGAAGAAATGCAAAGAAGAATAATGACATTCTGAAAGTTAAGTAAACTTCATTTACATTATATGCATCAGATGTAAAAATTAGGAGTTACAAAACAAATAGCAAAACATCTCATAACACTAAAATTTCTCTACACTGTCATCTATTATGATTTATTGGTGTCATATTCTAAAGTAAACACAGAATAAGAGAATCATGTTGCCCCTTTCCATAACCAGCTATCCATATTGCTGTCAACCTAACATAATGGAAAGAATACCAGATCAGAAGTTAAAAAGGTCTGGATGCCAGTTCCTACTTTGCTATGAACTTGCTGTATAACTATGGGCAAGTAAATGCCTTTCTCTAGGCCTACATTTTCACATCTATAAATTGATAGGATTAAAGAACAAGAAAATGGTGCCAGCCCTTGTCAGTTTAATTCAACATAGGATTAGAAAATTCCAGCCAGAAAAAAATAAAAAAAATAAAAAGAAATTCCAGCCAGAGAAATAAAGTAAGGAAAAAAGGGGGTTGGGCATCCAAATTGGAAAGGAAGAAGTAAAATTATCTCTGTTCACAGATGACATGATCTTATATGTAGAAATCTTAGAGATTCTACACACAAATAAAACTGCCAGAACTAATAACTCACTAAAGTTGCAGAATATAAAAATCAACACACAGGGGCACCTGGGTGGCTCAGTTAGTTGGGTGGCTCAGTTAGTTGGGTGTCTGCCTTTGGCTCATGTCATGATCTTGAGGTCCTGGGATCGAGCCCTGTGTCGGGCTCCCTGCTCATGGGGTGTCTGCTTCTCCCTCTCTCTCTGCCCCTCACCCCATCCCCCCCTTGTGCTCTCTCTCTCAAATAAAATATTTTTAAAAAATCAACACACAAAAATCAGTTACATTTCTATACATTAAAGTGAATGATGTGAAAAGGAAATCATAAAACAATCCATTTATAATAGCATCAAAAAGAAAAAAAAAATGGGTGCTTGCATAGCTCAGTCAGTTAAGTGTCCAACTCTTGATTTTGGCTCAGGACATGATCTTAGGGTCATGAGATCGAGCCCCACATCAGGCTCTGTGCTGGGCATGGAGCCTGCTTAAGATTCTCTCTTTTCGGGGCGCCTGGGTGGCTCAGTTGGTTAAGCGACTGCCTTCGGCTCAGGTCATGATCCTGGAGTCCCTGGATTGAGTCCCGCATCGGGCTCCCTGCTTGGCAGGGAGTCTGCTTCTCCTTCTGACCCTCCCGACCCTCCCCCCTCTCATGTGCTCTCTCTCTCAGTCTCTCTCTCTCAAATAAATAAAATCTTTAAAAAAAAAAAAAAAGATTCTCTCTTTTCCTCTCCCTCTCCCCCTCCCCCCCTAAACAAACAAACAAACAAACAAAAACTTAGAAATTAACTTAACTAAGGAAGTAAGAGACTTGTACAATGAAAACTGTAAAACATTGCTGAAAGAAATTAAAGGAGATATACATAAATGGAAAGACATCCCATGTTCATGGATTAGAACACTTAATATTATTAAGATCTATGGATCTACACATTCAATGCAATTCTTATCAAAATCCCAATGATTGTGCAAAAATAGAAAATTCCATCCTAAAATGCCTGAGGGGCACTTGGCTGGCTCAGTCGGAAGAGCATGTGACTCTTGAATTTGGCAATTTGTAAGTTTGAGCCCCATGTAACTAAAAGAAAAAACTTTAAATTGCATATGAAATCTCAAGAAAACCCAAAGAGTAAAAACAATCCTGAAAAAGAAGAACAGTGGTGACTGGGTGGGTCAGTTGGTTGAGCGTCTGCCTTCAGCTCAGGTCATGATCCCAGGGTCCTGGGATTGAGCCTGCATCTTGCTCCAGTAGGGAGACTGCTTCTCTCTCTGCCTGCTGCTCCCCCTGCTTGTGCTCTCTCTCTCTCTCTCTGTCAAATAAATAAATAAATAAAATCTTTTTTTTTTTAGATTTTTATTTATTTATTTGACAAAGAGAGACACAGTGAGAGAGGGAACACAAGCAGGGGGAGTGGGAGAAAGAGAAGCAGACTCCCCGCGGAGCAGGGAGCCCGATGTGGGGCTCGATCCAGGACCCTGGGATCATGACCTGAGCCGAAGGCAGATGCTTAACGACTGAGCCACCGAGGCGCCCCAAATAAATAAATAAATAAATAAATAAATAAATAAATAAATAAATAAATAAATAAAATCTTAAAAAAAAGAACGAACAAAGTTGGAAGACTCATACTTCCTGATTTCAATACTTACTACAAAGCTACAGTAATCAAAGCAATATGGTGCTGGCATAAAGACAGACATATAAATCCATGAAATAGAATATAGAGTCCAGAAATAAACCCTCATATATTGTCAAATGATTTTCAACCATTCAATGGGGAAAGGGCAGTTTTTTCAACAAATGGTGCTGCAAAAACTGGATATCCACATGTAGAAGAATGAAGTTGGATCCTTACCTAACACCATATCAAAAAATAAACTCAAAATTTGATCAAAGACCTAACCATAACACCTAAAATGAAAAAACTCTTAGAAGACAACATATGGGAAAAGCGTCACCACACTGGATTTGGCAATGATTTCTTGGCTATAACAACAAAGCACAGGCAACAAAAGAAAAAAAGACAAATTGTGCTTCATCGAAATTAAAAACTTTGTGCTATCAACAAAGTAAAAAGGTAGCCCACACAAACCGTAAGAGACTCTTAATCATAGGAAACAAACTGAGGGTTGCTGGAGGGGAGTGGAATGGGGGGATAGGGTAACTGGGTGATGGACATTAAGGATAGCACGTGATGTAATGGACACTGGGTATTATGTGAGGAATCACTGAACTCTATCTTTGAAGCTAATAGTACATTATATGTTAATTAAATTTAAAATTTTTTAAAAAGTGAAAACAAATGTAGCCTACAGAATGGGAGAAAATACATGCAAATCATCTATGTGATAAAGGATTAATATCCACAGTATATAAAGAACTCCTAGGGCGCCTGGGTGGCTCAGTTGGTTAAGCGACTGCCTTTGGCTCAGGTCATGATCCCAGGGTCCTGGGATCGAGTCCCGCATCGGGCTCCCTGCTCTGCGGGGAGCCTGCTTCTCCCTCTCCCACTCCCCTTGCTTGTGTTCCCTCTCTCGCTGTGTCTCTCTGTCAAATAAATAAATAAAATCTTTAAAAAAAAAAATTAAAAAAAATTAAAAAAAAAAAAAAAAAAAAGAACTCCTAAAACTCAACAACACAATAACCTGATTCAAAAATGAGGAAAGGACTTGAACAGATGTTTCTCCAAAGAAGAAATGCCAATAAGTACATGGAGAGATCACTAATCATTAGGGCAATCCAGTCAAAACCACAATCAGAGGGGTGGCTGGCTGGCTCAGCTGGAAGTGTGCAACTCTTGATCTTGGGGATGTAAGTTTGAGCCCCACATTTGGTGGTGTAGGGATTACTTAAAATAAATAAATAAATAAACTTAAAAAAAACCCACAATAAGACTATTTCACACCCATTTGGGTGGCTATTATAAAAAAAAAAGGAAGGAAGAAAAGAGAAAAAGAAAAAAGTATTGGCCAGGATGTGGAGATACTGGAACCCTTGCATATTGTTGGCGGGAATATAAAATGGCAGTTCCTCAAGAAAATTAAACATAGATTTACCATATGATCCAGCAATTCCACTTCTAGGTACACACAGAAAAGATTTGAAAGAAGGGACTTAAATATTTACACAACCATGTTCATAGAAAAATTATTCATAATGGCCAAAAGTAGAAGCAACTTGTCTATCTATCAACCAATGAAAACAAAATGTGGTTACAAAGAAGTATTATTCAGCCTTAAAAAGGAAGGGAATTCTGGAGAAGCCTGGCTGGCTTAGTTGGTAGAATATGTGACTCTTGATCTCGGGGTTGTAAGTTCAAGGCCCATGTTGGGTGGAAAGATTACTTAAAAATAAAATCTTGGAATGCCTGGGTGGCTTAGTTGGTTAAGCATCTGCCTTCGGCTTGGGTCATGATCCCAGGGTCCTGGGTTGAGCCCTGCATGAGGCTCTTTGCTCATGGGGAGTCTGCTTCTCCCTCTCCCTCTGCCTGCCACTTCCCCTGCTTGTGCTCTCTCTCTCAAATAAATAAAATCTTAATAAATAAATAATAAATAAATAAATATATATATATATTTTTTAAATCTTAAAAAAAAGAAGGGAATTTTGATATATGCCACAACATGAGTGAATCTTTAAGACATTATGCTAGGTTAAGGAAGCCAAAAACAAAAATACAAATACTTAATGATTCCACTTATATAAAGCTACCTAAAATAGTCAAGTTAATAGAAAGAAGAATAGTGGTCACCAGGGCCTGGGGGGAAGGGGGTTAGTGAATTATTATTGAATGGGTCCAGAGTTTTGGTATAGAAAGATGAAAAAGTTCTGGAGATGAATAGTGGTGATGGTTGCATAACAACGTGAATGTATTTAATGACACTGAACTGTACACTTAAAAACAGTTAAAATGGTAAGTTTTATGTCATATATATTTTACCATGATAAAATAAAAATTTTTAAATTAAAAAAAAAAGAACAAAAATTGAAAGGATTAGACCAGACAATCGCTAAGGTTCCTTTCACATTCAAGATCCTATGACTTTTACAAAAGGGAATATCACAGTGGTTAGGAGTACAAACACTGCCCCCAAAAAAGGGTAAATATGTGAGGCAATGGATGTGTTACTTAACTTGACGGTGAGAATCCTTTCACAACGTATACACATATCAAATCATCACATTGTATACTTGAAATATAATGTGTCAATTATACCTCAATAAAGTTGGGGGATAAAGAGCATAGACACTGGCTCTGCCACTTACTTGAGCAAGTTATTTAGCTTCTCTATGCTTCAGTTTCCTTACTTGCAAAATAGTGATGATAATATCAACTCCTCCCCTTACACCTTACACTCCAAACACCCCCACACTTTCAATACTCTTGCCTGAAATGTCTTTT